TAGTATACGCATAATTACACTCAAGCAATTTTGCTACGCGTGATGACCACTTTTAATTTAAAAGTAAAGTCTTCTCTATAGTTCAAAATTTTCAAGTGCCTCCTTTGTTCTTATACCTAGCAACTACTTTGCTGAAGAGATTTATTTGGCCTCAATGTACCTTATCCTTGTAGAATGACCTACCAAAGCATACTGCAGCATAGACAATAGTTAAATGTTAATACTTAAGCTGAAGTAAACAATTATGAATGATAGTCCTTGGCAGCTAACATCAAAAGCAGGAGAAACAAAACTGAGTATGAAAGACCCCCGTTATGCCATTCTTCATATATTGTTATAGAGTACGACTAGAATTGGTGCAACATTTGATGGGATTCATTGTTAACCTTATTAAAATTCAAATATCATGACTTCTCAACAAAAACATAGTATTAATAAGTTTCTAACACAGTAAACATACTTTTCATCCAGTCTCTGCACAGTGTCAGTCATCTCTACACTTTTAGCCTCCAGTTTAGAGATTAATTCAGTTTTGTGCTTAAGGGAACTGTCACATTCCTAAAACAAAAAATGAAATTGATGCCTATGAGATCTATAAATTAATAAAAACTCTCCAAGCATTACATCCACTTTGACATTATGGTTATAACTGGAGTGAATGCAATACAATGCTAAAAATAATTGACTAAAATGTTTTTCATTTTTAAATTTGAGATCTAAAGGCAATTTAAAAGACCCTCCCACCACCAGTGGTATAAAGAAAAAATATGACAAGTATTATGATAGAAAGAAAAAAAGACAGTCAGACAAGGGACATCAAATACATAAAGCATTCACATTCAACATTTTTAGATTAGATAAAAAATGCGGTAAGTTATGAGACATAAAACTCTTTACTCATAGCTTTGACCGACGCCACACAAGTAAATATGCTACTTTGGCTCTGTTTGACCAGGAGTGGTAGCTTTAGATGTAACTGAAACATTTGTATTTCCAGATGGTGTCTTTGAGCCATCAAATGGTGGTATGGGTGCAACTTTGTAGATGCTTGATGGAGTGTATGCTTTGTTAGGACCTGTTGGAGTGCTAGACATTGGAGTAGCTTGTGGTAAATTTGGAGAGATAAGTGGAAGTGTTAGAGGCAGTCCTTTCTCATCCTTCACACCGTTGTACTTTTGCAGACCGCTCAGAAGGTTGCCTATCTGTATGGTCTTAGCTTGAAGACGACTCACCATCTCACCTTTTTGGGTGAGTTCTTGCTCACACTCCTGCGATACAAGTATGCTTGTCAAATAAAACTATATGCATTATGCAGACCCAACAACACACATAAATCCAAAATACCTATCTATCATAGAGATAAAATAAGAGAAATCAAAGGTGGTTGGGAAACTTAGGTAAAATAGCAAAAATTAGATAAAGCAATAGAAATACTGGGTCAGTTGAATACTTGTAGACCATACCTGGAGTTTTTTGTACATATCCAGATTGATCAGTTTGATATCTTCCAACTGCCTTCGTAAAGAAATCACAGTGTCTTGCTTTTCATGAATGTCTTTTTCCAACAATTTCATGGCTACTTCCATTTCTGCCCGTAAACTGATCTATAATTATGACAATAAATCTTACAGTAGTAAGTATTCACTAAGTTAGGTAATGAATGAAATAAAGCTAAGATGTAATAAACAAAAAAAATCACCTGTAAATCTAGTTCTTTCTGCAGCTCCCCTTTCTGTTTCCGCTCAGCTGCAAGTTGTTGTTTTAATTCGTCTACATCATTAGAGCTATCTGAAGATTTTTTGGAAACTGCATCAGCGTTGGTCTGAAGAGAATGAATGAATGAATGAATTGAAAAAACTGACTAATTTTTTAAAACTTAACCAAATCTAAAATCAGAAGAGCAAATCTCACATCATCAACATGTCTTGTAGAAGAACCAGATTGAGCTAATTCCAGTTCACGCTTCAAACGATTGTTTTCTTCAAACAATGACATAAGGCCATTTTTAGATATAGCTAAATCTTCTTTCATGAGAGCATTAGTAGTGGTCAGTGTTTCAACTTTCGCCTGTAAGTTGGTGACAGTGGCACTGAAATATTAAGACACTCAATTAATAAAAAATTAACAAACAAAAAGGCAAACAATTTTTTTATGTAAGTGCTAATCTGTTATATAGCATACTTAAGATGTCTATTCAATTCTTCAATATAATTTTTCTGGTCAAGAACAGCACTCATATTGGAATGTTTTGGATCAGACTGATCAGGATCATTTGAATTTATTACTTGTTCACCAGGGCAATGATGAGTTGATCTTAAATACAATGAGAAATCAATCACACCTTGTTGGCAGTCAAGATCTTCTTCCTGAAATAAAATAAAATGTTATAAGAGGCCACAGTGTTGCAGTAAAGTGTTAACATACTTCTTTGTTGACCAACCTTGACACACAGATTACAATCGATGACATTCAGACCCATAAGTAGTCCCATAATAACAATAGCTTCGTCACACATAATTAAAGCATCTGGTTCAAAATAATCTCTTAGCACATCTTCTTTAAGGTCAATTAATACTTTAACATAATCAGCAAGTTTCTTTTGCATCAAAGCTAATCTCAACCATGCACGAGCTCGACCCATTGCAGTCCTGTAAAACATAGATTAAAGAATCACATATTTACTAGGGGGGGGGGGCACCTAAAAATGTTGGGAACCGGCTTATGGTATATTAAACACCAACCTAACAGTCGGTAGGTCACGAACGCTGCTTGTAATGTCGTGAGCCTCAGGAGCATACTTCTCCACCAACTGTAATATGTCCCATAGTTCTTTCTTCGGACCTAATAGACCCTGAATAGAGAAAGAGGATAGCACTTAAAAATCGTTCACAGGTGTAATAGACACTGAGATCAACATGGTGGGAAAGAGCACCTTTTTTGGGCGCAAACCGTGGCGTAGAACGTGCTCCAACACGATGAAGAAGTGCTGCAAGGGCATGTGGTCCGAGTCCAGCATGCGGCCAAACTTGAGCGACGTCTCAATGAGCTCCTTGACAATGAGCTTGGAGATGTTGAGCAGGTTGCTGCGCTCCACGGCGGCGGGGTCGCGCGCTGAAACAGACAAGGGAAGGGCGCGCTAACGGGCGGGGCGAGAGGGAAGTGCCGCGGGCAGGGCAATAAGGGGCAGCCCCTTACTGAGCATGCTGAGCAGCATGGGCCCCGGGTCGTCGGGGGAGGGCGTCGAGAAGGCTGGCGACAGGGCGGGATTGTCTGCGCCCGAGGGGTCCAGCCGGTCGAGCTCCATGCCGTCCTGGTCGAGCTCCTTGAGGCACAGCCACTCGCCGTCCACCGAGACGCGGAAGTTGCAGAGGTAGATGGTGTCCTGCGCACCCGCGCTCCCCGCCACGCCCGGCCCCCCGTCCTGACCCGGGCGCCCCTGAGGGAGCTGGCCGTTGGTGGGGCCGTCCAACGCCATGGGCTGCATCGTGTCCTGGGCCTGGGGGTCCTGGACGCGGTCCTGGACCGGGGCCTCTACCGCATGGCAGGGTCGCGCAGAGCACGCGTCCGCCAAGTCCGGCACCCCCTCGAGAAGGTCCGGCCGAACCTGGCGAGTCCTGCGGGTCCTGAGCGCCTCAATGGTGGACCTGCCCGTCCTGAGCTGGACATGAAAGGGGGGTGGGGGGATCCATTAAGGCAGAGCCGAGAGCGGCTTAAATCAGTATGTGGCAAACGAAATTGATGGAGACGGTGTCAGATGAAGTCTATGATGCGATTGGATAAGTCCTGCTGGCGGTGCGGGTCGTCACGACTGTGCGCCAGGTCGTGGGATGCAACAGACGACCTACGACTGTGCGGTCCACTGAGTCAGGGAAAACTCGCGGCCGCACTGCAATCACCAGCAAGTATCGAGAACCAGACGCACCGCACAACCACCTGCCCACAGGCCTCGCCCCAGGCCTAGAGGGTTCGGGGCCGAGTCTGCGGCAGTGGGTGCAGGCGATCCAGATCATTCACTGTCAACAACACGCAGCACGGAGCGGGGCGCCCTCCCTCCCGCACCCGCACCAGCCAGAGGACCTCCGCGGGCAACGCGAAGCGCAAAACTCCATCTGACCCGTCATCCACGCAACACAACTGCACCTGGCGGACAGGAGTGACGCCGGCCGAAGAGAGGGGTTCCCAGTGAAAAACACGGCCTACTTGGGGGAGACGGCGAACACAATGGCCGACCGAGACCGAAGGGGTGGAAAAGCTACCCCAGGGCGGGTCTGCACCGGGCAGGGCCTCGGCAGCGGGGGGTGGATCGATACGACCACCAACATGGAGGGCTCGGGCACACGGCAGGGTGGGTGCAGGCCGGCGCCGACTCGCCTCGGCCCCTGCTCTTCCACCCCCCCGCCGAGTCCCTCTCCTTCTCTCTCTCGCGCACGCACGATCAGGGGTGGCAGGCAGGGCCGCGGGACGAGGATGCAGCAGCGATGCCCGAACGACGCAAAAGGCTGAGGGGTGGTTTTACGAGCGCAGCCCGAGTGGCGAGGGGCGGAATACGACGCCGGCGTGACGAGAAGGGGTGTACGGTGTCTGTGGGGGTGGAGGCGCGGGAGGGACACTCGGCCATTTAGCGCCATGTTGGCGCCAAAGAGAGGAGGCCCTTGGAAGTACTGTACTTTGGACCTTGGAGTCACAGGAATGACTACGAGTTCAAACTGAATAAGTAAAATAACCCAGAGTTTCAAATTGTTATTCTG